TAATATAAATGTTAAACAAAAATAAATAAAATTAAGAACCTTTTAAAACTGTTTTGATTATCAAAAAAAAATGTGTTAGAAATTTCTCAATTTCCATATATCAAGTCTGACATCAATATTTCTTAAAGAGTCTCTTCATTGAGTACCATACCAGGTGCGCGAAGGTCGTATCCAGTCTATCTCTCCACCAGCCTCCTATCTTTCACCATATTGACAAGCGGGGAAGGTCCTGCCCTGAGAATTGTTATGGTCTCTCTATTAGTCGATATTGGGGGGAATTAGCCTGTAGAATGGGGATTAGTCTGTATAGAAAATTCACTCGCCTCAAGAAGATCACAATAATATTGATATGCAATGAATATATTATAAAACTAAAAATAATATGATTTTTCCCTATTAAGATTAAAACTTGAAAAACTATCATCTCTTTACAAGATATTTATATATACATATATCGGTATTAATTTACCGCCTCAAGTAAACATTTTGTAAAAAGTAACATAAATTGATTCGGTAAATACAAGTAATAATAAAAAGAAGAGGTAATATAATACGTAAATTGATTAAGTAAGCACAATTTGTTACTAATATATAACCAATGACATATATATATGTCATTGTATATAACACATTTTATCTCTCTTTTTCTCTGTCCCAAATAGGCAATTACGTATGTTGTATGCATAGGCGTAGCCAGGATTTTCACAAGGGGGGGGAATCAAAAAAGTACTGGAAGCTTCGCCCCCAGACCCCCTTTTGGGTGGGCCTTCGGCCCGCTTTTCTCCGGCCTTCGGCCGGGTTACTTTAACCTATATATAGTCATAAAATATTTTTACAAATTTTAATAAAAAAAATAAGCCTGGAACAAATATGAAATAATTTTTATTAGTTTATATAAAATAAAAATATAATAAATTACTTGTATTGTATATACCTTAATATAAAAGCATGGTAATAATTTATTCCAAACAATTATAAGAAATTTATTTATAATAAGTAAGTAGACATATAGTTGATTTTACCCTATTATATAGAATTAGTTATAAAATACTAGGTAAAATTCCAATTTTACAGACATATTTGACAGTTAGAGAATATATTACAGTTAATAATCTGACAAAATTTACTAATCAATGCTCTTAATATTAAATATAGCAACAATATGCATACAATTATTTAACGCCATCTATTTTATTTAAGTATATATAAATTTAATCTTCATATTATTTATCCCACAATGTCTTTAAAAGATATTTTCTGATGTCCTTATCAATATTTTATAGTTTTCTGTAAAATATATAATTCGCTATATTGGTAAAAATACTTGATTGTCATTTGATAATTAGATATATTGTAAATCGACGACATATAATATTCCACTGTTTATATTGTGCTTTAATATTTTTTTAATTTATGATTTAATTTTATCAATAGTTTTATAATTATATTTTACTTTTATTGAGATAAATAAATAAAAATTACTCACTTTATAAAAAATTATATTTGATATATTATATTATTTAGTAATTTTATAGATCTATTATTAATAATTATAATACATTTCACTTCTGTCTTAAGACTTATCCTTGGCCTATATTCCATTTATTAAAAAACATTTTTGGTTCATTTTATATATTTATAAATTTATTTTCTCAAAAATCTATAAATTATGATGAATAGTTTTATAAAAAAATATCAACTTTTACATTCTTTCTTTTAAATTATTATTTAAGATATATGCATACATATATGAGGGTCAGGGAGTGGGGAGAGGACTAAGGGGGATATTTTTTATTAGCTATAAATGATATTTACAAAAAGTGATAAATTTCTGAAGGGAGGGGAAATTTCCCCTGTTTGGTTTCACCTTTTTTTATATATAAACCTCTTTTTAAAAAATATGAATTATAGTTAACAGTTTTAGTATAAAACATTATTATAACTTTCACATTCTATCTTTCAAATTATTGTTTAAGATATGTGCATACATTTTTGGGGGACAATGGTGAAGAGAGAACTAAGGAAGAAATTATTTAATAGTTTAAAATGATATTTACAAAAAGTGACATATTTCTGAAGGGGGGGGGGAATTTACCCTTGCCCTCCCCCCCCTGGCTACGCCTATGGTTGTATGGGACAGATTGCAAGATGAAGGAAACCTATATAAAAGACTATATTATTACAGGAAGCTCAGGAATTTATTAAATTATTTTCCACCAGTCGAATTACAACTGTTGTTAAACAAACTCAATCTTATTATGACAAATGGGACAATGGTAATTCGTTAATAAATCAATATCCTATGATAAATTTACCCAAATGTAAAAATATGAAACATTTAAGGTGGATAATTTGTTAGAGTGGTGGGCGGCTCATCAAAGCCAATTACCAATTTTGGAAAAACGGGTGTTGGCAATTACTACTTAAACCCAAGCTGTGTCCACTACTGGAATAATTCTTAAAGAAAGAAGAAGTAATCTTCAACCAAGGTAGATATGCTTCTTTCTTCATGATAATTTATAAATTTTTTATATCTTTCTTGAGAATACGGCTTCTTCATTCTGACAAATATTTATTGCATTTGTTAAATTTTACTTTCAGTCCTGAAGGTTACATTTTTAATATTTTTTTTTACATATTATAAAATAAATTATATCATATTGTGCAAATAGATGATATTCTCAAAACAAATTACTATTTACATGCATGGTTTTTTTAAGCGATTTATTTTTATTTTATAAATATGCAATTTATTATACTTCTCATAAATTATTTACTTCCATTTTAATAAATTTCAGCTTTATTTTTTTTATAAATGCAATATAATATGGTATATTATTAAAATATTAGCTCTACCATGCATTTTTTAAATATTTATTAAAATATTAGCTCTACCATGCATTTTTTAAATATTTATCATAAACACACAATATATTATATTCTCAAAATATACTTTATACAAATTTTTTATAGTATCAATTTGTAATATATTAAATATCTGTTTAGAATAAAAAAGATAAAATGGTAATATGCTTATTAAATGTTAATAATCGCTGAAAAATAGGGTAAAATACAGAATAGGTGTATTTTGTATAAGCGAGGATTTTCACTGGATGCAAACCCCCTTCAAAAACCTTTGCCTACCCCCCTAAAAAATTCCCACCTACTTCGGCGGCGGTCTCTTTATTATTATTTTCACCTTTATAATTATATTAATACTCTTTTCAGAGCATTTATAAGGATAACTTAAATTAATCTATCTATCTCTACTACCAACTATTGATATTTTGTGAATATAAAGAATTTATTTTTTAGATAATAAATTCAATTAAAACCTCCATTATTTAAAATGAAGTAATTATTATGGCATTATGAGCTTGCTGATATATCTAAACCTTTTAAATTAAAAAGGATAGCAGAAAGTTTTATTTGGAAAACAATGTGTATGATTGTTTGCAATATATAGATTTGGTCGATAATTGTATTATTATATTTCTATAATAAAACTATTAATTTTTATAGCAATAAATTTTGTCCTATTTTATCTCAAAATTTAATAGATAACCCCCCAAAAAATTTATCCTACCCCAAATAAATTAGCCTACCCCCTCAAAAAAAATAGGATGCAAACTGTTCCTAACCCCTCCTGCTCATGTAGACGCTGTACATCAAGCTATAATTACATGTTTTTCACTTAGTAAATCCTTAATTTAATATCTCCACGATATGCCTTACTTATGAGTGCAATATATTATTTTATATAATTATATATTCTAGTTATTTTTGATTAATGTAATAGGCTTGGTAAGGATTTAAGTAGGAGGAGGGAGAATTGAAACCCTTCTAGGTTATTTTTTTCCTTTAAAATTTATTGCAGGCCTTTAGGTTCACTTATTGTAGGTTTTTGGATTAGATTTTTGTGAGAATAATTTTTGGGCTTCATTTTATTTTTATATAAAAATGTTTTTTTCCTGAATATTTAGAATTATAGTCATTATTTTAAAAAATTACTAAATTTTTTTTAATCTTTCTTTATAATGATATATTGTAAAACAATTTAAGAAGGGGAAGGAGGTAGAAGGTGTGTAGGGGGGCATTTTTTAATAGCTTAAAATAATATTCACACGTCACATTTCAGAAAGGAGGGAAAACCCCTTGTCTCCTTCTTTAGCTTTACCTATGCTTTATTTAATATATAAATAAAACTACATTTTTTAATTGACAATTTAATTTGGTTTTTATAAATTTGAGATACACCATGTAAGTATTTACCAATATTATAAGGTGATGATTAAATAAACCCAGGAAATTATCCTTAAAAAATCTAACATCTTGTTCCTCGTTTAAAGAATTTAAATAGATCCGCCAATACTTAGCGTTTCTAATATATACACACCTTATAATTGCTAAACAACTGGTTTAAAGTAAACTTTTTTTGGATGTTAATTTCATAATATATATTTTATTCTCATGGTGGGTCGTGTTGATATAATGAGTTAGGACTGATTCATAGCCCTAAGTTCCTAATATTATGTTTATATATTTAGAAGTCAAGTTTTAAGTGGAAATGATAAAAATATAAAAGTTTCGTCTCTATACATATATATAGAATTCATAATAATATAACAAATTTAAAAAAAGTTGAAGGTCAAATAGTTTGGAAAATAAAATTTTTTTAAAAAATAATTTTAAATAAATAAGCAAAACAGAATTAGGCAGTAAAATTAGTAGAGTTCTGGAATCTAACCAGTGAGTCTAATTTATATTATATATTGATAAATAATCTGAAGATGAAATTTTGGAGCATTAGACAATTACCAATATGTGCAAGACACTATATTTAATTTAATGCAAAAGAAATAAATGTTTAGACTAAAAGATAAGCATTATATATCAATATAATTTATATTATATGCATACTTCTTCATATTGATGTTAAATAAAATATAATTTATTATGTTAAATATATTTAGCCGAGTTTTTTTAAAAACATATGTGTATTTTTTTCGAATATTTAATGCTAATCCTAATAAAAAATTGTATTATAATAAACATTATTGAAAAATGACAGCACTGCAAGAAAGGAATTCTGGCCTCATTCAAAGAAAAAATATACCAACCCAGAATGGAAACGATAGTATTTATAAAACAGAGAAAATATATAACGATTACATTCATGATGATGATTCCAAAGAAACAAGATTCACTATTATGGAAGAAATATTATTACTAGGACTCAAAGATAAAGAAGTATTAAATAATAATTGATTTTTGTTTTAACGTTTTATAAATGCCTTCTATTTTTTAATGATGACATTTAAAACTTTTTAAAAAAATTAATAACTTGGATCTTCTTTTTTTTTATAGAAATAGATATACTTAATATTTATATATTTTTTATTAGAAAACCTACAATTACTAATCTATATTTTTTAAACAAATTTATTGATAAATGTTTGATTAAGGGTTTATTTAAAAATTTACATATCATCTTTAGCTTCATGCCAACCCTCATGAACATCTCATATATAATTTAAATAATAGTATCATATTTTAAATGAATTATTTAATCTATAAAAATTATAACAAAAATTGAAAGTGGAATATAAAATATAAGCTTATAATTATAATATGCTCACTAGGATGTGAGCTCTTATAAAAACCCTATTAATAAATATTGAGCTATATATTAAATTTTTTTATTCTACAATTGAGAATGACAATAAATTTTATAATATTCTATATACATATATATATATCATAAATTTAAATAACTTTTATCATCCTTTGCTATAATGAAAGTAAATAATATTTTAAAATGACGAGTTTAAATATACGATTTGTCTTTGTCTTTGTTATTGTTTTTACCTTCTTTCAAAATATATCAGCTTCTAATTTAAGATTATTTCAGATGCTTGAAACCACTGAATTCTTATCCCTCTCCTAAGCCATAACATAATTTAAAAAATATTTAAAATTGTTGTTCACTTCTACAAGCAATTATGTCCCTTAATTTTTTTTCTTTTTTTAATTTTTTTATAACTATATTATAATCATATATTTATTATTTTAATTATTAGAATTGATTTTTAAATTTTTTAATCACATTGTTCCTTTCAATCTAGTTAACCTCATTAAGAGGCCATTATATATTTAATTCACTATCTGTTGGAAAGAGACTTTTTAACTAAAAAATACTATATATAAAAATACAATATGTAAAATAAAAAGTCATTTTTAAACTTACATTTTACTTATGTTCATTCATTATTGTATTAATAAATAAATAATTAAGTTTAAATAACTTGAACAAATTATTCATCATTTTGGGAATTATCTGTGTTTAATATGTTTTGCTTAATACTCTTTTAGAGCTAAAAATTTAACACATTTTAAAATTTATTTATAAGTTATAAACGTTTTATTTAGGGAAAAAATCTTTTTTTTCTCCATTTTTTTATTACTACTATAATCTTATGGAAAATATGATATCTAAATGCTGTTAAAAAATTTTATTATCACGATTATTATAAATTGAAAAAAAATACCTTGCTATTATTTTTATAAGAAAATTAATATAATAAAATAAATTATGATGTGTGTGTCCTAGTTATAATTATCACTGAACAGCTGACTGGCTCTTGGACTAAACACCTAACCAAAGTAAGAGAACACCACCAAACACCTAAAACAAACCAAAATATGGTGATCTCCTAATTCACAAGCTGTTTAGTCTAGATTAGAATTAAAAATAAATGGGATCAGGACACACACACCCTAAGACTTTAATTTAAAATTTTGCGAAAATATTTTTAAGCGTTTTTTTTAAGTCTCATTTTTCCCGTTTTTTATATTTGAAAAATACAATTTTTTTAAAAAAAATGTTTTTTTGCGTGTTTTTTTAAATCCACGAACATCTATTTGTATTATATATGCAATACATCCTCTTATCAAAAAATCTTTGAGGTTCAATGCTAGCTCTCACTTCCATTCGCTATTATCTAAGCCAGTCAAATAACCACTGAAAGCAGGATTCGAAATATAATTATGCTCCCGTATTCGATGAAAATGATAGGGAACTAGGAGTTTTCAGTTTTTTCTAAAGTTTAGAATTAAATTATATATAGTTTTTCACATGTTCAAGATTTTTAACACCCTCATTTTCTATGCCTCGTAATATATCTAAATTGAAGTCGTATTTATTTTCGATGGCCAGATTGGCTCAGAGATTCTAACCTGTTTCATCGTTTTTCTATCTGCTCACATCGCACTAACATCTTCTAGGTTAATAAACGATATATCATTTTTTAAAGTTAAACTTTAAACAAAAATGAATCCTTCACTCTATGTATAATTATTGTGATGATCTGATGCAATCTTAACTGTTATTAACAAACCTATCTACCATCTATTATGAGAAAAATTTCCAGGATTGGCTAAAATCCTCATTTCGCCAAAATTATCTAAATCATGTCGTTTAACAACACTCCATTTTGATTTTTAATAACAATATTTTAGCCAGAAAAATATGACTGAGCCTTGGAGATCGCGCTAACAGATGTCCAATCCAAACCTTTGTTCCAACAATGAGCATAATCTTCAGGTCAGGCTTGCTTAATATTATTTCTAGACAAAACATTGAGTTTACCGTTTTAAGCGCAAATTGAGTCCCTTAACAATACTATAAATGCGAATTATAAAAATATTAAACGTATAAAACCCAGCGGCTTATGAAAAACTATAAAATAAGTTAATTATAAAATATATGGATATAACCAGCATATGATGAGTAACTATAAAATAAATGACCCAAAATAGAAATTTGAATTTTTTTTCAGTATTTAAAATTTTTATATAAAAAATGTTTAAAAAAATTTAAATGTTGAAAATGTAAATTAATGCACAAAATTTTTCTTAAGAATAATTGTATTTTGTGCGTATAATAATATGATTAATATAGTCCCAAAAAATGCTATGGATGCTTTGCATCATTTCAAACATCTTTTAGACTATTTTTCCAATATATTAAAATTATTATATATATTAATAACTCTTCCCATTAGTACTAAAATTAATGAGAGAACATTCTCAAGAATAAAAACATACCTAATACAATTTCTGAAAGTTAATTGAATGGGTCGGCCATTTTGAATATGCATAGGCATTTGATGCCAATAACGGATGATACAATTGAAAAATTAGCTCAATCCCAGCGAAGATTGGATTTTACATGATAAATTTATTAAATGTTTCTTGATTATAATTTCGATGCAATTTTATTTTTTAATGCATTATACATGATGTCTCAATCGACGCGGAGGTATTTTTAATTTTTTTTATTAGCGTTCGGCACCTCGCCGATTTCGCCTCCGCCTACTAAATTGGCCGCGGCGCGATATTTATTTAAAAATTTTTTTTTTAAAAATGTATTAATATTCCAAATCAGTTTCTCGATATCTGAGGGCTGAAATAATTTCTCTAATTTTTTAAAAGAGAATATCAATTCTGGCAACTTTATGCCATCAACTGTAACCAAATTTGCTCTAAGCATAAATGATGCTCATAATCCCCCCAAATCTGACGCTTCTTTTGGCAGGCCCCAGCATCAGTTACCATTTGTAATTATTTTGACCTTTAAATGCAGAACTCTTCTTCATTACTATCAATCTCAGATAATATAGTTTCCCCAGTATGCTTTCATGTCACATTTCTAGTTGCAAATATTTTTAAATCAAAATTTTCATCTAAATGATGCACACTAAATGTGATAGAATTTCGACGCTTGAAATGATTGGTCCATAAATCAACAGTGATGGGAACAGAATTTTGGTGCAGAATCAATCAGATTTAAAACACGCGCCTTTATAGATAAATAAACATCATCTAGTGCACCCCGACTAATGGTTGTCCTAATTAGGCAATTCTGACCATGATTCAATTGTCTTGCATTTTTATTTTTCAAGCTATTTTTATTTTATTAATTTTAAACCTGTAGAAAATCTGTCTTTCCTTTATTGTTGATAGAATCAAATGGTATTAAATCCAAACAGCTCATCAAAACATAATTTCTTCCTATTAGATTTCACATTTATTTTATATATTTAAAAAAAATTTTAAAAAACATCAAAATAACTAGAGTCGGAATGAAACAAATAAAAAAATTTGGTTTAGTTTTAAACTTTCAAAAATAAAGTTTTACATAATTAATTTAATAAATTATATATATTAAGTTTATACATTAAAAAAAAATCTCAAAATAAAGCTGGCAATAAACAAGCTAAAAATTGAAGTTGTTTTGAACTTTCAAAATAATGTTTAACAAAATTAATTTAACAAACCAAAGTTAAAAATTTAAAATGAATAATGATAAAACTGTTGTAATAATTAGAATGTTACTATTTGTATTCGTATTTAATTAAATAGTGGTTTATATAAATTTGAATAGTTACGGAAAATAATTTTTTTATATATAAAGTTAAATTATAAAATTTGAATATGAATATGACGAGATTATATGATGTAAATTTTAGTAGTCTAAATATAGCGATAAAAAAAATGTAATATGAATAAGAAATTTTTATAAATTTTAGTAGACTTTAATTTTTATTTATGTTAATTTATAATTTATTTAATTACGATTAATATTATTTAATAAAGTAATTAGTATTTAATTTATTTTTCTATGTTATTTTGTATTCTTGATTCTCATATTTAATAAAAACAATAATACCAATCTAAAAGCCATTTGTTTGCTTTAAATACATTTTTAGACTTTGAATGGATTTATATATTATTAATTTTTTTCTGATATTTTACGAACATTAACTAAGTGCCGAGAAAGGTTACTTTTACTTGTACTTCAATTTTTTACTAAAACATTTCATTTCTTAACTAAAATATAAAAAGTCTAAAATTATAGTAAATTTCTGTGAAAATGGATTATGTTTATCCGAATCTTCCTCATCTTTTCCTCCCAATTTTAAGCAAGGTTCACAATAAATGTAATCGGGCCACATTATTATGCTTTTCTTATTCTCTGTAGAAGTAATCTCTGCAGATTGGTAAGTTCTGCTAGATGAATTAAAACCCTTTCATATCATTCGGGGTATAAATGTATCGGTTCCATGCCAATTCAGCGAAACTTTTACCGCAAATGGATTTTATAGCGAAACTGGCAAATCAATAATCGCGCACGAAAATTTTATAGAGAAGTCATTACAGCGAAACCCAAATCGCGAAGGCAATATTGC